TTCAGATTTCCTTAGTACACGCCACACGTTTATATGGACACGGGTTGATAATTTTGATTCGTACGAAGACAGAGATGAAGTTTTCTGTTTTGCAATCAAACTACGGTCTTGTAGTCTGCCAGATTCCTTACCCCCCCTCCTCTCTTTTTTGTGGCTAGGCAGTATAGCTATCCCTTCTGTATATGTAGTGTATCAGAATATCTGATTTTACTGAAATCCAAGATTTAGGATATTTGTCAAATATGGTGGTCACTCCATTTGTACTAGTTTCTTGTAAACATAAAGATCTTGGTGACCCTTTCTGTTAGATTTTCGGTAAATATCAAAGCCTGATTTCAATTTTAAAGCTTGGGCAATATCACAAATATTCAACTTCCAAGATTTGATTTTCTTTGATGGTAACTCATTATAAACAAAGAAATCTGTCTTTTAAATAAAGAGGGGCTTTCTGTTGCTGGCCGCTCCTTACAGATTTCAATAGGAAGAAATGAAAAACAAGCGAAAAAGAAGTTGCAGTTAGCAGCAACTAACAAAGAGGAAATATTTGAGGACGTAAAAATGGCAGAGACCAATTGTAAGCTTCTATCCACCTTTCATTAGGTACCATCTCCATGAACATCTTCTTCAGCATCCTTATAGGGCTGACCACGGCCCCCCATTGTAGCGCCGGCCGTGACCCTAGGCCGAACCCGCGGCGCTTATTTCCTAGCCATATCGTGCTACCTCTCCGCCTTCTCAGCCGCCTCCGTGGCCGGCACCAGCCAACCAGCATGGTAGAATTTGATAAACATATGGCAATACTACCTCTCCTCAACATCCCTTACTGTTGTGATTATATATTTATGCTAAGTGTTTTGTGATGCTCACTCCTAATTACTTATATAGAGTGTGTTAAAGATGAACTGTTGGTGTTGATGATGATAGTGATAATGGCAGCAATTATCACAATCATGATTTTTTATGGCCTGATGCTAGAGTGGAATAAAGTGGTACCCTAGGGATGATTTTTTTATATTCTATTATATAGTTAGGGTTGTGGGAGGCATGATTAGAAGAACACTTTTCTTTATGTTCAAAAGACAATCAGTTTAAAGGAACTTGTAGGTGAGACTTTGTTACTGTGTGCAGATGGGATCGAAAGTTTGAAATGTCCATAGAAAGCTCGAGTGATTAAACATCTTTTTACATAACATTATTGCACACAAATCTTACCCTCTACAAGTTACAACTCAGTTTTTGAATTTTTCAAAAGCAACTTTACTAACTTGATTATTGAAATAGAAGATGCTACACTTTAGCTCCTCTCTGCTTTGATGTGTGACATGAAAACTTAGCTTTAACTCTTTGGTGTTAGCAAGACGGGTCGGATCATGAGTTAGAATTAGGATATATTTTGCGTTCGATTCTCTCGATTTTTTTTTTTTTAAACGAAGTCTTGAAGCTTTTTATCAAGAAAGATGTTGGTAAATTGGCGGTAGCTTGGATCATTCTATACATGACAGATTTTGAAAAAAAAACATCATCATTTGTTTTTGGTGAAAAAACACGCCATGATTTGGTTAAGAAAGAAAAACCATTTAAAATATGGGGACATGATTGGATTACAACAGGCGGTAGGTTTCATTAGTTTTATGCTGCACGCGCCTGATCATAGTCTACCAACAACTTAATTTCGAGCTGAGAGAGGAGAGTGGGGCATGCATATAGATTTGGTAATTTGTCCTGTTAGTTTCTTGCAATATAAAATTATCCTAAATACAAATTCGACTCATTAACTTATCGTGTCTGAATATTTAAACTTGAATTCAGTCATAAATCTTCCGTGTCATGTATTCACCCGTTTCCCCGTTGCTCTATTTTTTGTTCAACAAAATTCCAAGATACAAAATGTTTACCAAATGTTATCGAATACAATAATATAACGTGCTACAATTTCATAACAAGAATATATTTAAAGTGTATAGCCGCGCGGCTATACTCTTAAAATATTCGAATATGTATTGAAGGACAGGAAATGACGGTTTCATGCCTGCAATTGAGACCAACTAGTTATCTTCGGCAGATTTCAGGCCTGAAATTTTGCTCTTACATCTTCATTCTTGGCATTGTGCAGGTTATTGTTTATGCGGCATTGTATTTAAAACTTAGAAGAAAGAAAGAATTATTAGAGGATAATCAGGAGATATATGCATCAAGGATAGCAGATATTATACATTCAAAGAAAAGTGGAAAGATAGGAAGAGATTCATGCATCCAATTCTTATTAAAAACAAACAAAGATTTGAGAGATCCCGTCTTTATGAAACCTTTACCTGTGATGACAAAATTGGATTGCTTTGATCACGAAAAGGTTGAAAACGCAAAAGATATTATCCTAAATGTATCGCTTAACTCATAACATTCAGAGATGCTAATATTCAACCCTGTTTTGTGAATGCGTATAGCAGCGACTGTACTCACATATTTAAATCGTATAGCCGCGCGGCTGTACTATTAAAATATATTATTTAAATAGTATAGCCGACCGGCTATACCATTTTTGGGGAAAGCGTATAGCCGAGCGGCGGTACTTGAGAACTATATTATTTAACGCGTATAGCCGCGCGGCGGTACGTGTAAAATATATTATTCCAATAGTACAGCCGAGCGGCGTTACTTATAAAATATATATTTTTGAAATATATTATTTAAACAGTATAGCCGAGCGGCTATACCTTTAAAATATTCCAATATACATTGAAGGATAGGAAATGACGATTCAGGCCTGCAAAATCCCCAAATCTATTCGACGAAATACAAAATCCCTAACCTTAACTCTTCAAAATGTCGTCGCCACCGTGGCGCCTCTCTCAGATGAGTAACAAGAGGGGAAATGCACTACCATGCTCCCAATTTGTCCAAAAGTAGGTAAATACTAGCTTCTAAACTTTAAAATTTGTGCCTATTATATCTAACTGGTTTAAAAGATCGCATCTTTTTATTTTTATTTTCCAAATATAGAATTTCGTCTTGATTTGGTTTCCTTCTTCTTGTTGTTGTTATTTTGGCTATGTTTTCTATGATATAAATTCAATAATTTATTGGAACCATGAAATTAAAGAAAGATTACCCAGTAACACTCCTCACAGCAATGGCAGACCCATGAAATTAATGAAAGAAAATTAAATTTAAAATGTTTGAATTGATGAAACCAAGAAGTGAGTTTTCAGATGACCTCTGGGGTCTTTTAGTTTTAAGACTGGTATCTGTATTATTTTTTATTGCTCTTACATGTATTTAATTTATCATCTATACAGTTGCATGTATTTAGTTCGAAGATTGGTGGTGTTAGTTCTTTCACTTTAGGTTGTCTTCCCTCAATTAGGGTTAAAGACCTCCTTAGTTTTGGCTCCTTGAAAGTTCCCTATTTAAAAAAATGTCACCTTTATCATTTTTGTTCATACTTGAGGAAAACATTCACATGCTAATAGGGTTTCAAAATGTTTGACATACATATGTTAAGATTCACATGTTCATGGAGTTTCAAAAATGTTGGATAAATGGTTTGACGTACGTATTTAGTTTGGAATAACATGGTATGTTGTGAGTACTTGTTCCAGAACACCAAAGCTGCAAGGTCTACAAGTTAGTTAGTAGCATCCTAGTTCCTTCAGGTTCTGATTGATAGATTGCTTTGAGTCACTGTGATATTGGTATCTTAATTTAGTGTTTTAAAAAGCTTTCCCATGTTTGGTGTAATTCTTTGCTCTTGTATAACTGAGATGTATTTCAAACTCTAAGTTCTAGTTTTGGAAAGTAGAGGATATATGGTTCGATACTTGAGAAGAAATATATTGCTCCACAAGGTTCTTGAGGGAAACTTACGTAAATCTGGTTTTTATTTTTGTGAAATATATGGGGACAGAGATTTTATATCAAAAGAATCCTTTTCCTTTATAGAATCTATAGTTCTGGTCTGGTGTTTCAGGGCTCTAGTTTTGGCTTACTCTTTGTTTTCGTTTTTAAATAAAATTCTTCATATCCTGTAACAATTTTGATTTCATAAGCCTTTTTTTTTTTACTGAGGACCTCATATCTTATGCTTTTTCTTTGCATGCGTCTTTAGATTAGCTGAAACTTCTTACAATCTATATTCTGGTATTTATATGTTCTCTTCCTTATGTAGTGTGTTCTGTACACTACACACAAATGCATGAAATTACTTCTGTAATTTTTCTGACCCTGTGGTATTTGTGAATTGTAGCACTTTCACTCTCACAAAAATGCTTAGCTGTGGAAATGGGGCATGCTACATCTTGTTTAAAGATTTTATGAGTCCACTGGTTTACCATGAGAAGGATATGGACCTCGAAGTTCTTAAAAAACGTACACATGTTATACCTCTATAGATTTGTTAAAAGTTTATTCGAGATAAGAATACGTTTCTTCATCTGATAAGTGTTGATGACTTAATATTATCAGACACCCCCTCCCCACTCTGGCCCTCCGCAAAAAGAAAAAAAATAATATTGAAGAAACAATGTACAACAGAAACTGTGGCTGTGAGACAAAGGAATCTGTATAGTGAGACTCCTCTTACAGTTTGCTAAGTGTCTATGTAGCGTGCTGATTTTTTTGGCGGTAGATGCCCTAAAGTTTAATTTAGTGGTTATGGTTATAAATTCCCTCTCTATTTTATGATAAAGCATCATACTTTGGTTGGGGGGATCTGTTTTAAGTATTTGATGGTGTTGGATTTTAAGTCTGCCTAAATTATTACTATTTAAATAGTATAGCCGCGCGGCTGTACTGTTAAAATATATTATTTAAATAGTATCGCCGGGCGGCTATACCCTTGCACGGCGGTACTTGTGAAATATATTATTTAAATAATATAGCCGTGCGGCGTTACTTGTAAAATATATTATTTAAACATTATAGCCGTTCGGCGGGCACGGCCAAAAATATATTATTTAAATAGGAAATGACGATTCAGGCCTGCAAAATCCCAAAATATTTTCGACGAAATTCAAAATCCCTAACCCTAACTCTTCAAAACGTCGTCGCCAGCACTCCTACGGTGCCATAGCCGCCATGGCACCTCTGTCAGATGAGTAACAAGAGGGGAAATGCACTACCATGGTCCCAATTTGTCCAAAAGTAGGTAAATACTAGCTTCTAAACTATCAAATTTGTGCCTATTATATCTAGCTGGTTTAAAAGATCGTATCTTTTTATTTTTATTTTCCAAATATACCAATTCGTCTTGATTTGGTTTCCTTCTTCTTGTTGTTATTTTGGCTATGTTTATTGGAACCATGAAATTAAAGAAAGATTACCCAGTAACACTCCCCACAGCGATGGCAGAGCCATGAAATTAATTAAAGAAAATTAAATTTAAAATGTTTGAATTGATGAAACCAAGAAGTGAGTTTTCAGATCTCTATTGTTGTTAATTGTTTTTTAGTATGTCAGTTGACTGAATATATAGAGTTCAATGAGTTTTAATGTGGGGCATATGCATATATTTAAATGTATGTACACATTTAAATACATATACTTATTCCACGATACATGTTAATGCCCTTGTGCAGTTGTTGAGGAGTTGTATTTGCAAGATGATGGGATTATTTAAATCACATGTGGACCGCTCTTGTAAATTTGCATAATTAAGCATCAAGTTATTGGCCATTCTAATCCGGTTCTGATTTGATTTTCTACATCTGATTTGCGTGCTTTTCAGATACTGATTACCACTTTTGTCCTTGGCCATAATTTATGTTCATGATTTACTGTGAAGTGCCTAAATCAGGCATGAACATAAATAGAAATAACTTCAAGCTCAAGTTTGGACTTCCATTGTTTGTGTGTTAGATTGGTTCCTCCCCATGTCAATGTATCGCTTAACTCATAATATTCAGGGTTGCTAGCTATACTCTTTAAACAGAGATTTGTTCGCTGTTCCTATTTTTCTTCTCAAGTTTGAGTGGTCTGGTTTAGTTTAGTTTGATTTCTTCCGTGATTTTAGTTAGGTAGGGGTGGATGTATGTTTCATGACCATTGTTATGAATTGAACTTCTAATTGATTTGTTAAGTTACATACATAAGAATTTGTTAAATACGCATGCTACCAACTAAAAAATATATTAATGAAAAAACACAACCTAAAAACTAATCAACGAAAATGAACTCAAAGATCCTACTGTGAACCTAAGTTCCTACTATGAATCCACCATAGGAGATTAGAGAGAGAGTTTCCATCATCAAAACCCTTCAAGCTCTTGATCTTCTCCGAAGCACCATCCTTATCATAAATCCCTTGCAAGGCATAGACAAAGCCCTTCCATCCTTCCTCAACTCCTTCTCTACTCAGGGCTGGCAATGCCCATTCCACAATTTCCTTAGCAAAGCCATCATCAGAGAACAAGATCTCAGTGACTGGGGATATGGGCAGCAACTGAATTCCAAGCCTTATTTCTTTTGCCTCTGGAGGAGCAAACCAAAGTCCACTGTCTCTCTTGTTTGCCCATAAAATTCCCACAATCCTATTTTCCTTTGTGAACTTTTCCTCATAAAGTGTATCTCCTTCTCTTACATGCCACCACATTTGAGCTGCTTGAATTTCCAGAGATGTAAGCATTGATCCACTATTGAAAAGATTGGTGTCTCCATAG